GACTATTCAATTTTTTGTTACCTTTTGATCTGAAGAAAAATTTATCCAACAAAAAGTTGTTCTATTTATATACTCTCTTGCTATTGTTGTATAAGAAAAATGAATAGAAAAGTCAATTTTAATATTTTATTGGATTGTTCCTTTACCCTTTTACCTTTTTTTTCCAATTTTAAATTTCTCAATGATGGGTTTTGCCCTTCTGAGTCCAAATGGAATGCCTATATAAAATGAAAAGAGTGTAGTTTGAAAAATGAGTTTACTGAGAACTTGGATGATCATGAGAAAAGATATAAGAGCAAGAATGTAATAAGTTGGTGTTTTTTTTTTTTTGTGTTTGTCTTCCGATGTTCTAGTTTGGTGTCTGATTTTCGTGGGTTTGGGGCATTTCATCCCCTTTGTTATTTGCTTTTTATGATTTTTTTCACATGATCGTTTGGTGGGGGTTTGGAAATGTGTTCTTGGTAACTTCAGTTTTTTTGTGTGGATTATAGGGTATTCCAACTCTTTTATACGTTTTTATAAGTGTTTTCCAATTTTGTTTATGTGAGTGTGGCTTTCAAAGGATTGTGGATGATTTTTCTTGGTGAGTATATTTTGATAGGTTTTGGAGTATTCAATTCTTTTGTCACCTTTAAGTACAATTTTCCTCAACAAAAAATTTGTTCATCTTATATTCTCCTGCTCCTGCACTGCAAATAAGAAAAATAGACAAAAAATACAAGTTTAATATTTTACTGCTTTACCATTTTCACTTTTTTTCTTGCTTTCAAATGTTAATGTTGGGTTTTGCCCTTCTCGACCAAAATATAATGACACATTAAAGTCCGAATTTTACATAGTTGTTTTCTACCACTTTCACTCTTTTTCTTACTTTCTAATGTTAATGTTGACTTTGGTATTCTCTGTCCAAATGTAATGACCCATTGAAGTCTCATTTTCATCATCTCACGAGAGATATTAGAACTGCCTAATGTCTTCCATACTATTTTCATCATCATTTTCTTTCTTGTCCTCTTTATCTTAATACTTTGTATGAGGCCCGACTTTGACATTGGTGCCCATGACCTTTCCCCTCTTAACCTCAAGCCTCAACTAATATCGCATGCTGTCACTTTTAGCACTTCATTGACACTGTAAAAAAGGCTTATCACAAGACTTTTACGTCATTTGTTTCATTCTCCAACAACCACTATTTTGCTTGCCTGGCAGGCCAGCTGTTGTAACGGAAGGTGACTTCTTGACAAATTGAGACAATCCAGTTTTCATATCTTGGCGGATGGTAGGCATGACGAATTGAGACAACCCCATGAAGCGACTGAAGCTTCATCCCATAATCTAGTAGGTAAAGTGCATGCATCTGGGATAGCACGTCAATCTCCCCGACGATGAAGTCAGACTATTGGTCCTTGCAGGCAGTCAAATCAGTCTTTAATTTAAGCTCCCACTTCATATACTCTATCATCTCATCTATATGTTGTTTCTCCAACTACAGCTAGATGCGGTTGGACATCTTGCCTTTCTCTTGTTTTTTTCAAGCTAACAATAGAAATATTTTATTTATTTACATAAGCGACCCATACAAAAAGAAAACCACGAAAATCCGACACAAATTAATTTGGAAACATGTTACCAGCTCAGCCAGCATGTTTCTAGCATTCTTGTTAGCATCATACCGATCTTCAAGTCCTTTCCATGTGCATTTGCAGGGAATGCACAAACGAACCGATCAAACTGGAGGACAAAAATAAGACTGAATCAAACACAGATAAAGCAAAAGGAGTGAATGTAAGTAAAGGGTGTCAGTATCCCTAACATTGGAATTAAGACGCCTATTGAACTCGGCGCGAGTCTCGTGTGCTGATAGGAGAACTTTATCTTAGTGGTCAAGATCACCACGGAGAGGTTTTGCAGCGTACTTCTTGTAGTTATCCACTCCGTCATTCTATACTTGTGGATGCTATTTAATTTGTTGAAATTAAGTGTGTTAGATATTTTTACCATGTGTTGGATTTTAAGTGTAAAAATTTTGATGTTGACATTATATTGAAGTATAAACATTTATCATTGTGATGTTTTATCTAAATATCAATATTGGGAGGTTGTTGACACTTGAAATAACTTATATATAAACACAATATATACAATGAATTTATTGCAAATATTCATATTAAACCAATTCGACCACTAATCCACAACACACTTTCTCGATCAGGCCAACAATTGAAACTGGATCGGCAACCACTTGATATATAGTTTTCAACCAGCTGTCTTGACTAACCAACCCATCACAGGAAGAAGGAAAAAAAAAGGTGATCTAAGACAAGGGCGGAGCTAGGTTAGAGGTAAGGCGTGCTCCTCCCCCCAAGAATTTTGTATGTTACGTTGAAAATTGTCGATGATAGCAAAAGTTACGAATAAACTAATATATTTATAAATATGTGCACAATATAGTACATTAACATTAATATAGCGTAGTTGCCATTGCCCAAGTTTTCTTTGGTTGGAATGTGGTTTCTATTCTCCAGCCTAATATATTTGTAGATTATAGGTTGCTTTTTTCAACCCTTTCTCCTTTACCTTTCGTTATTTTCTTTTATACCTTTCCATTACTATTTAATTTGGCTGAAAAATCTTTTAACTATTGAATTTTTTATAATTTTTGCTAAGTCCACTAATTTCATATATTATCAACTAATTTCTTTGATTTGTAATTCTTATTTTTAGAGAGAATATTACGTAATGTAGAGAATAAATTACTTTTTACTAAATATTAATATTGAAGAACATTGTTTTTGGTCCACATAATATTTATTTTTAGGCAAAATACACTTGTATAACCATAACTTTCACGTTTTTGACAAATATAGCCATAACTATTCGAAAACACAAAATAGCCAATTCCGTCCATCATTTTAACGGTGTTACTTAACAATCTGACTAGACGGATGGAAATGCTGACTTGGCGACATTTCGTCAGTTAAAGTCCACATGAATTAAAGGAAAAAAAGCAAAAAAATCAAAAATAAAAAAAATAAAAAAATGCTCATTTAGGGTTCTTAGAGACCCCAAATTCGGGGGCCAACTCTTCATCTCCTCACCAGCCGCCGCCGAAATTGGAAACAAATCGAAAGCCAGCGGTAAGCACGAAGAAGAATAAGCGAATCAGAATCCAGTCAATAGCACGGCGAGATGAGGGAGAAGGTCGAGCAACCTGCTTGTTTATTCTCGGCGGAGATACCGCTACGCTGGAGGATTTCGAGGTCGACGAGAGTGAGGGACATGAGGCCGAGAGATATGTGGTTGTAGGGAGCGAGCGGAGAGATGAGCGGTGAAGGTGAGTTGGTAGAAGGTCGGCAAACGAAAAGGAGAGAGCTTGGAGAGGATCGCAACACCTACGATGGAGTCCCGATTGACGAGGGATCTCCACTCTCTTCTTTCTCCAGCCGTCTCCCAACCTGCATCGACGCCACTGGAGGAAGAAGAGGACTCACCGCCAAGCTGCACAGGGGCTACATGGTCTCGCTCCAAATGACCAAACAAGCTCCAATTCAGCAGCAACAAGCTTCAAAGCCGCCAACAGCTACTTATACCAGTACCAGGGTGAAAACAGAGGAATTGGAGCAAGCCCAGGAAACAGAGTCGAATTGGGTGGGATTAAATATGTAAAAAGGAAAAGGTGAATGAAGGCAGATTGAGAGATGGGAGCAAGTCCATCAATTATTTCATTTGGACTGGGAGGGTTTTGGATTTGGCCGATTATCGAGTGACAATTTGATGGAAGGGTTGCAACAAGAAAAACGGAGGTAGAAAGGGGTTTTGATAGAGAAGAAGTGAAGAAAAGGAAAACGAAGGAGGTAGAAGGGGTTTCGATAGAAGGGGAGTCCAACGGAGGTAGAAGGGGAGTTCATCGGAGAACAGATGGGGAAGGCGAAGGAGAGGAGACTGGATATTGAAAAGGGAATTTTTTTTTAAAATTATTTATTAATTTATTAACTAATTTATTTTTAAAATAAAATATGACATGGCACTTATGTGGCAAGTGTGATTGAGTTGTCGCTGACGTGTGTGATGATTTGGCATCCTAGTCTGCCTAATGTTAATCTAACTGACAGAGTTTCTAACACCATTAAAGTTTCTAACGGAAATGGCTAGATTTGTCACATGACCATCTAATTTCTTGGCTATTTTGTGTTTTCGAATAGTTATAGCTATATTTGTTGAAAACGTGAAAGTTATGGCTATACAAGTATATTTTGCCTTATTTTTTAGTTACAAAGTGATAAAATCCGATGAACACTAAACTATATGATTGATTTCTCGTTCATAATAATTTTCTCATTTAGGTTTTGGTATATCACATGGTAAACAAATTATTTTAGATCATATTTTGAATGACTATATTTACCTATAAGATAAATAGTGAGATAGTTACAATAATAAATATTATTTTATTCGATTATTTTGTCTCATACTAAATCCCAACCCCTGATCTTCCATTCCTGGCTCCGCCCCTAATCTTAGAGGACTTGAATCGCCAAGTTTGTCACCACCGTGGAGACCAATTAACCTTCATCATCATGTGAAGAATATGTACTTGTCTAAAGTGCATGATCAAATTCAAATGCTTTCAAAGCTTGCTAGAAAAACAGTCTCTCATCCCAATAAGATAAGGAGTGCAATTTCAGAATATCCTAGTACTACATCAAATGCACCGATAAAAATAATACGCAAGGAACCACGACTCCACAAGGATTCTAGTTTCATGGAATAAAAGAATCATGAGGGAGTCATGTGAGGTGAAGTGTTGTGTTTTAGATAGAACTGTGTCGTATTGGTTTGTTATGTTTAGTAAGAGAGTCTGTAGTCTTATAGGTAAGTAAGACCTGCTAGTTGAGTAGCTCCAAGTTGTTGTTAATGCTAGCTGAAAATTAGGAGGAATTAATTTGAGGAAAGTAGTGGGAGCCTACATCAAAGGCTGGAAGTATTGTATTTAAGTTTCTGGGTTTTTATCAAACAATAGTAGTCAGTTTGCCTTCAACGAGAGCTAACATTCCAGACCACATTCCAAAAAAAGGAACAAAGACAACAAATCAATGCGTACACTTCATCCATCCAAAAATCAATGGCTGACCACAGTCCACACACACTTGTATATATTTATCTAAATTATTTATAATATATTGGACCCGGCCGGCGACGGGGCAGAGCTCGGCGACGGCCCAACGGCGCTAGAGTCCGGCTTCTGGCTGGAGTTTCGGTTCACAATATTATCGTCAGAAGGATGTGGGTTATTCACGCTGTCGTCGGCGGCCGCATGGGCATTCTTGTGCGGGTCGGGTCGGAAGAATTTGATCCAGGTGTACGTCTCAAGAGCGAGAACGACGATCCCCAGTGCCGCCAGGATTCCGACGTAAGCCCATTTCCAACTGTACGCTGGTCTCAAGATCCCAATGCCTTGGAATATGTTGATCACGATCACCGACAGCAGACCGTATCCCATGAAATGGTGGTACATGTTCCAGTACCTCTTGTATCGGTCCGTGGACAACGGTCTTAACTTTATCGCCAACATCTGTACGTGTTAAACATTTGCAATTTAGTTAAAAGCGTAAAACTTTAATATTTTAAAGTGCAATTTTGGCTATATTAGTAAAAGGAAACTGTTACGTCAAAGTGTTTTGATCACGTAGAGGTATAAAAGTGTAAACTTTTAAACTTTAAATCGTGATTTTGACTGCTAACTGTGTATGGTGAGCCTAAAGATGGAGATTAAGGAAAGACAACATAGGCAGGCAGAGAGTACTAGCAACTTACCTGTAAAGTAGCAAAGGTGAAGATGAAGATGGAGTAGAGGCGGTGGGTTTTGAAGATATAGCGATTTGATGCTTTTCCGAGGTACAAGCCAAGTATCCAGCTGGCGGTGCCGAGGCTGTATCCGACGACTTGGCAAGTGAGGTGAGGGTAAAACCACCAGTGTTCCTGTACCTGGAATGGGTACCGGAGATACCTCACCATTATCGCCCCCGCCGGCAGCAATGTTCCCCATCCGATGATGCTCAATACCCCATGCACCTTCAAATTTTTGGAGAGATACGTCAATCATCAGTAAAACAAACTACTCCATTCAATACGTGAATATATATGGAAGTCTAAAACTAATTTTTTTTTATGTATTATTATTAAATAGCTTCATTTTTTTTCATTTTATAACTCACGTACTAAACACGTGTAAAATTTGTATATCATATTTAATATCCGCATTTAATAAATTAAATTAATAATTTAAACATTATCTATACATTCACGGTTTTTTTTAATATTTAAATTCGACTTACTATATTAGACTTACGATTAGCTCAGAAATAAATTGAAATACCCATTACTCATACATATTTTATATGTAAACTTACTGTATTTTGCTAACTACGATATTGTACGTTTAGAAAATCAATTACCATTCTGAGGTGACGCTGGAGATGGCCGAAGTCGGTGGACTGAGAAGTAACCAAATTCAAAGTCTCCGTGCTATCGAAATGCTGTAACGTAGTGGGGTGCATCCTGGGCGACATCCCAACGGCGTCGTATCCCAGCTGCCAGACGTGGTTCAGCCTCAACTGTTCCCCCTTCTTCGCAACCGCCACCGTGGCATGGATGACGTAGTAATCATAATCCTGTCGGTACTCGAACCGCGGGTCGCGGAACCCCACGAGCGGGTCCGGTTCAACCGACGGGTTCAGCCCGCAGAACATCTTGGCCTGCCGGGTGACGTTGTAAGCCGCAACGGCCAGCGAGCCGTTGGTTTGGACGATCCCGATCAGGGCCCTGGTTCCGACCATTTTGGCCATCTTCCCCGGGTTGACTCCCCATGCGAGCCAGACCAGGCCCTCGGTTAGCCGCGTGCCGAATGCGATGTCGATGATTGAAGTCGGCGGGGAGGTTGACGAGTTAGGGGTGGTGGAGTCGCGGATCTGCCAAGCGAACTCGGCGCTGAGGGTGTGGAGGGGCTTGCAGTTGGAGAGGTTTCGAGGCTCGGTTAGCTTGAGGAAGTCGTCGGTGCAAGGTTGGAAGTGGGCCACGGCGGCGGTGAGGAGTTTTGAGAGGGAAATGAGTAGTAAGAGAGAGGTGGTGGAGCACATGTTTGGGCTGTGGCGGAGCAGATTGAATGAGAGTGATGGCTGTGATAGCGGTTTCTATGAGTGAAAACGTACAGCGAGTGTGGCTTTATTGATTCTCTGTTAATGTTGGACAAAGTTGGAAGCAATGGATACAATTTTTCTTTTATTTCTCCATATTTGTACTTTGGTTGATTTGTGTCCCTGGCCCTAGGAATTATCTCTTTAAAAGAACAAGTTACAACTTTACTGTTTGGTAGAGTCACGTCTTAACACTGTTTTTCTTTGCCACATTTTTACTGCGTTCTCGTCTGTAATCATTGCTTACCTCTCTCTTTCCTCTCTGCTTTTAGCCTGGGTTGCTTCGCCAGCGACTTCTCTTCTCTCTGCAACTTATCGGTTTTCGGAACTCCTCACCTTTCCCCTGGAAATGACAGGTCTGGCGCTTCCTCATCTGTTCCTTTCCCCACAAAAGTCTTGTTTTGCTTTGCTACCTTTCATTTGTGCTTCTTACAGACTTTTCCTCTTCTAGCTTGCTTGCTCGCTTGCTTTCTTCTATTGCTCTTCCATGGTGACCCATAAATTGCTTCTTGACCTCAGCGACTCCGATGGCCCTCAGACTCTTCTGAAGCTGCGCCTCCTAAATGCGTGGGGGTCTTATGGCCTCAAGAATCCTACATTAATCTTCAACTACTGCACTCTTTGGAATGATGAGGAGGTCAGCGCTGCTTTCCTTTTTATTTTGCCACGTAATCTTGCGCCTCCCTTCTTTTTACAGCCCTCTGATGTTCGTTTCTTTTCTGGCCAGGGTACTTTGATTCAGGGCACGGCTCCTTCGGAACTCACGCGCCATTTCTCTCCGCTTCTGCAGTTGGGTAGCGTTTACTTCGTGAGCAATTTTCGCGTCAAGCCACCGGCCCCTTCGTATCGTTCTTGCTCTCATAAGTTGACCATCATCCTCTCTGCCGCTACACAGTTCGAAGACGTGACCCGTTCGTCACCTTCATTCTGGCCGGATGCGTTCGAATTTACCCCGTTCAGCTCGCTTCATTCCCGCATACGTTCATCGGTTTATCTAACAGGTCTTGTACTGTATTCTTTACGTCTCTTGCTGTCCGTTCTGCAGTGTACTGCTTACCATCCTTTCCTTTCTTCTCTTGCTTGTGCCTCTGTCAGATGTCGTTGGCGCTGTTGTTAGCATAACAGGCGTTTCTAGCACTGTAACTTCATTCGGTACCACTGTGCGGAGTGATTTGGTGCTTCAGAATGAAAAGTATGTTACAGATGCACACCACTGCTTTATCGACTGTAATACATTTGTTACTTACTTTCGTTGCTTTTTTGCCCAGTCACATGTTTCTTGATATCAGTCTGTGGAGTGATATAGCTCGGAATCTCAATGGTCAGGAACTGGCTGTCCTTGGTCGTTCTGGGCCAGTTATGCTTGCTGTTTGCTCACTTCGAGTCACTGGCGCTACGAAAGGTCTGCATGTACCTTACCGCCGCACTATTCTCCCTTTCATTTCCCTTCCTCTTTTCCTTATTACCTTTACCCCTCTTGTAGGAGGTTACTCTCTTACCAGTACTCCAGGCACACGTTGTGTTCTCAACCCTGTTTCTGAAATGGCTCACCTGGTCCAATCTGTGTATGTCTTTTCTTATCCTCCTCATATTTGTTTTTCCCTTTGCATCATCAGCTGTATTTTTGGTTACTGCTAATTTGTTGCGTTCCTTGCTTTCGCTTTCGTTAGGTTCTTTGCCAGCACTAATACATGTCAATATTACCCTCCGAGGTTTGCAACTCCTAATGAGGCAGCGGCCTTCGAAGCTGAATGTACGAAGACTGTGTCACAACTACTTGCCTTGTGTTTTCCACCTGTTGCCGATGTATGCTTTTTCCCATTTTGCTCTCCAGCTTACCTGCTTCTGTTCCTTTCACTTCATTTGTTTGTCCGTCTAATCATTTCTTTCGTTTACTTTTTTTTAGTCTACGCGTTACCATTGCTCTGGTCGGATTGTTTCGGTTGATTCTTCTATGCAGTGGTACTACTTGGGTTGTGCGCTTTGTTCCAAAGCAGCCATAGATTATGATGGTGTTGACAAATGGTGTGATGACCACCGTCGTTTGGTGCCTCAACAAACACAGAACTTGTAATTCCTTTCTTCATTCTTGCCCCCATACCTTTTACCTTTTCTCGTGTCCTCAGATGCTCCTGTACACGTTTTTTGCAGTTACAAACTTCGGGTAACAGTTGATGACAACACTGGATCAGCAGCTTTTGTTCTGCTGGGTAGGGCCGCTGACCTTCTTGTGGGCTTGACTGCTAACGATCTCTCTACTAGGTTTCCTTACCAACGCAATGTTCTTCCACAAGAACTTCTGGCTCTTGAAGGGCGAGACTTTACTTTTGACGTCCAGCTTCCAAAACCGGAATATGGGGCTCGTGGCCCGCCAGAATTCACGGTCCTTGCTGTCAATGAGCAAGAACAGCCAAATTCCTGCTCACCAACTCTTGGTCGCCGGGCAAGAAATGCTATGCCCCATACACCACCTCCTAACAGGTTGTTTTAATGTTCTTCAGTTTGTGGTGCAGTTTCCTTTTGTTCATTACTAATTGCTGCTTTCCGTTGCAGTCCTCACTTGATGCCTCTTACTTCTCCATATGTTGTTCCAACAATGCAGAACGCTTCGGTAGAGCATGGTTCTTCTGTTGCTTCACCAAGGTTATGCTTCAATTTTACATGTCCTCTTTTCTCTGGTTGTTGCTTGTCTTTAACTCGGGTTCCTTCTTAAATTTGCAGTGGGAGTTCTCAGCTTGCATTTTCTACTCCTCCACGTCGCCCCTATAGCAGGTTGTTTTTACAATCCACTTTGCTTTACAAAATTAACAAGCGCTTCTTTGGACGCTGTCGTACTCTTTCCCTATGTGTTGACATTTCTTTTCCATGCGTTGTTTACCATCAATTTCCAGTAGGCGCATCGCTGCTGTATCCTCGCCCTCATCTGCTGCATTGGGAAGGTTGTCTGTTTGTTGTCTGCTTTGCTAGCTTAGTGCTGCTTATACACGTTCTGATGTCGTTTCCTGACATGTTTCTTTTCAACAACAGTTCTGTAGCTTCTTCTCCTGAACTTGGTCGTACTGAGATTGTTTCCTATGCGCGGTCAGTTTCTTGCCTTTTCCTGTGTTACCTCAATCGTTCGCCTTTACGCCTGCTAATATTTGTCAATGACTCTTGCACACCCGTTTTAACTGCTTCTTAGCCCTAGAAGTGAGGAAGTGCCCCCAGAAACTGCAACACAGCGATCCCCACAGTACCTTTCCTCCTGTTAACTTACTTACTAGCTTTACGTGTCTCTTTCTTTCCTTGCTGAGCATCTCTGTATCAGGGAACTTGCTTCGGACACTACAGAAGCTACTGTGCAGAACAAGAACATTAGTTCGCAGAAAGCGAAGCCGAAGAAACCATCTGCTAAGAAGAAGTCTCTCTGCCCTTTATTACTTGCTATGTTTCTTGTACCAAATTTACATATCCTACATTAGGTCTTAATTTCCTGTTTAACTTGCTTCTGTTTGCATACTGGCAATTTACTTGGTTTTTGTGCACCCTTCGTTTTACATGTGGCCTGCTTCCTACCCATTCCCCATTGTTATTTCGTTTTACCACTTATTTGGTTGTTAACTGTGCATACGCCACTATTGCCTCTTGGAATTCTTTTACTTATCATAGTATCCTGCATTGTACTTCGATTTACTGTCCTTACCTTATACAACTTTGTTGGACTTTTGCAGGAAAACTGGAGGTGCAGGTGCTGCGCGTCGTCCTGCAGTTACTCTTGAAGAAACCGATGTTCCGATATCGTCCCTTCAGATCCCTGTTGGACATCCTTTGCCAACCGAATCGGCGAATCCTGACTCTGGAAATCTTAATGCCCTCGGTGTCAATTTGCAGACAACAACAATTCAGCCTTTGTCACAGTATGTGTCGTTCTAATTCTTTGCTTGCCAGTGTTGTCTGCTCCCTAGGATTCCAGTTTGCATGCTTTTGGTGCTCTTCTAAACCTGATCAAAAAAGGTTTCCAGTCTGCACAGAATACTTATTTTTGACGCAAAAAATTGCAAACAATGCTTTACAATTAAAGTTGGTCTTCTGCTTTTATACATGGTTTTAAGTCGTTACCATAAAATACAATAGCCGATGGATGGCCTTTTGTATCCCTTTCTTCGCCCTTCGCTAACTTACACGTGTTCTCAATGTGCAGACATACAATGTTACCTTTCAGTGGCCATACTAATTATCTACGAATGTTCTACCTTTTTTGTTTATACAGAACAAAATAAACAAATAGTTGTGGCTTCTGCTTACTTGGTCAGCTTCAAATCAATTATTTTCCCACAGTTGAAGTAATAATCGTCTTTACTTTAGGGAGATTCCTTGTGCAGTTTGTTCTTTGTTGTTAGTCATTATCTTATTCGTGCTTTGCAAGTTGCTCCCGCATTGCATAGGAATGTGCATGTTCTTTCATATAGATGTGTGTTTTACAGACCTACTTCCTTTGTCTCCTTTTCTAGGCAACCTGTGTCTATAAATCCTGCACCTGTACGTCGCCGTCGCTTGGTTGTTTCTTCTGATGAAGACGAACCTGTTGTCCCTTTGGAACTGCAAGACTTGGACGTTGAACTTCCACTGCAAGAACAGGCTATTGAAAACTCTTCGACTTCTCCTGTTCCTACCGTTGACTCTACTTTGCCTTCTCCTCTTCTTGCTGGCCAAGAAGTTCCGCTACTTCCAGTGGGGAAAACTAATCCTGGGAGGGCAAAGCGAATTAGGACACCGTCTGCAAAGGCCATTGAAGCATCTGTGGATGCCTCCAAGAGGAAGCCAAAAACTCCCAAATCGTCTGCTAAGGAACCTGCTAAGAAGCAACTGTTTGCTGATTGACCGTGATTCGCATCATGCGAGTGCTAATGTAACATGCTTGTGCAGTGCTGTCCCTCCCTTTCTTTTGTATAACTTTTAAAGGGAAACACTCTTTAGCGAGTAGTGCACTATGTACTTTTGCCTTTTGTGTCTACATTTGCAGCCCTTGCCAAACTTGTGGTTTTCCATTACTGGCACCACTTCTACCAATCTGGTCTGCTATGACATTTGACTTGTATTAGTTACCTCTTGGTCCAGGTTACCCCTTTCGTACCTGCTTTCTAACCAGCTCTATGTCGTTAATATAAAGCGACATTTTGGCATGCCCTTCTTTAAGTGGCATAGTATTGCGCCACTCTGCAACTGAACTTTATTTTGTGCTAAGGAACTGTTGTACTTTGTATCATCATTTGTTGGGTGGAATTTTGCCGTTTAGCCCGCATTCGCATCGCACCTGTATCTACTTCGTTAGTCACTTGTTTTGCTCTTTATTCGCAGGTCGCCACTGTCTGTTGTAAATGGCCACTTTGAGGACCAAATTGTGCACACCCTTTTCGATTGCAGGGTATTTAGGTGGTGTCTACCAGCCACACAGTAACTAGATATTTAGATTGTCCACTAATACCATGACTTTGTTTACTAGCTTCCATAGACCCAAATTATAAACTTATTTTCTTCTATTAATTGCCATCATGCATTTATTGTTCTGACTAGCCTGTTCACTAATGATGGCTTTATTACTTCTCACTTCTCTAGACTAGCCTGCTATGGTGCATGTTGTATTATTATACTTTTTCTTAAGAAGGATATTTCCCCCTGGAAACACCGTTTACCTGTAGACTGTCTTCTTCCATAACTGCTTTCCCATTACTGCTTCTTTTTGCTTATTCTGTCTTTGCTGTTGGTCATTGAATGAAATTCTCTGCTACATCTGCTATACTATTACCTGGTATCTGCCTTCCTCTGCAAATCTGCCAGTGTCTTTATTCCACTGTACCCGTTTAGAAGGCGTGACATGGTTAGTTTGGTCAATTTATTACTTTTATCTTACTACATTTACCATTGTGTTCCTATACCATGCTACGCTTGTGCCATAGTTCCCAGGTCCTGTTTTTTCCCTAACGTCAGTGTGTCTTCTCAGGCCACTCCCAGACAGGCTGCACTCCTGCTACCCGGTCGTTCAGCGAATAGGAAGCGTCGTCATATTGGTGTTTCCACTGAATTTGTACCTACCACGCCTCCTTCGAGAAGTTCTGTGAGGCGTCGTGTGTGCAACTTTGATAGACGGGGACGCTTGCACCCACTGCTTGACTCAGAAGGTGAACTTGACTCATCCGAACTTGACTTAAGAACTCCTGAAGACTTAACAGCCAGCTCGCAAACTCATCCTCCTGTTGCGTTGGATGGTCATTGTTCGTTGCCTGATGTGCCTCTACCACCTTCACAACAAGCAGAATTCAGTCGAGTTATCGATCATGGTTTTCCTGACTGTGAATGCCAATACTGTGGTGCACGGTTCTGGTATGAAGAGCGGCTTAACAGGCATGCATCTCTTACTCCTGTTTTCACGCTTTGTTGTCAAAAGGGTCGAATACGCCTCCCATTCCTACAGGAAACTCCTCAGTACCTTGAAGACCTCTTGGGTGTTAATGGCGGTCCTATGGCAGCGCACTTCAGGGAACATATACGCTCCTATAATGCTGCGTTTTCTTTCACATCTTTTGGAGCACGCCTTGATCCGAGAGTTTCACGATCACGAGGACCTTATTCGTTTGTGATATGCGGAGAAAATTATCATCGAATGGGATCTCTGCTTCCTGCTGCAGGTCAGAGACCTAAATATTCTCAGCTATACGTCTTTGACCCGCAGACCGAATTAGCAGATCGACTCTCCAATTTCTCTTCTGCTGAAAGGTCCCTGCGTCCTGATATTGTTTCTGGTTTAATGAAGCTGTTTGACGTGACAAATGAATTAGTTAAGTCTTTTAGACGAATTCGATCTGAATTGAATGATCCAGCATCAATCAATTTAAGACTGCGTATTGTTGGTGCAAGGGACACAACATCTCGACAGTATGAACTTCCAACTGGTTCAGAATTGGCTGGACTCATTCCTGGTGATTTCTTGCCTGATAAGGAAGAACGAGACATCATTATCGATCATCGGTCAGAGGGCCTGAAGAGGATCACAAGTGTACACCCGAAGTTTGATGCTTTGCATTTTCCGGTTCTTTTCCCATACGGAGAAGATGGATTCCATGTAACCATACCGTATGATCCTGTTCATACTCCCAAAACATTGAAAAGGAAACATGTGACTCAGAGAGAGTACTATGCTTACCGGCTTCAGCACAGAGACGACGAAGGTCAGACATTGATGCGAGGTGGGAAGGCACTTCAACATTACGTGGTTGATGCATATTCCACAATTGAACAAAACCGACTCTATTATTTGCGATCGCATCAAGAAAACCTCCGTTCTGAACTATACTATGGCCTTACAGATGCTTTCAACAGAGGTGATGTTACAGGAGATGCTGTTGGCCATGTTGTTCTGCCATCATCGCATACTGGAAGTCCTAGGTACATGAAGCAACTATACTTAGATGCAATGGCTGTTGTCCACCATCATGGCAGCCCCGACCTATTCATAACCTTTACGTGCAACTCCCAGTGGCCAGAAATAACAGAATCTTTCCGCGCTGTCTGTGGTGCACGCAGCGAACTAAAACCAGAGATTGTTGCTAGGGTCTTTCGCATGAAGCTGAATGCACTGGAAGATGAATTAACACGAGGCCATTTTTTTGGTCAAACAGTGGCAGGTTTGTTCGGTTGCCTTCTGTCTTACTTCCTTTTACAATTGCCTGTTATCAATTCTCCTTTTCCTGTCACTCTAGACTTCCTCATTTACCTCATGTTTTGTGATCTAGCATAAATGACACATTTCATTGCCTTATAATTCCAGGTATCAAAACCGTCGAGTTTCAGAAACGGGGTTTGCCCCATGTTCATATACTTTTATGGTTGGATGCAAAGAATAAGCTACGACAAGCTTCTGATATTGATGCAACTGTTAGTGCTGAACTGCCAGATCCATTACTAGATCCAATTGGGTATGATGCTGTGACAAAGTTTATGCTGCATGGTCCGTGTGGTCAAGATAATCCGACCAATGTTTGCATGAAAGAAGGATCGTGTTCAAAGTATTTTCCAAAACCGTTTAATTCAGAAACTACAACGGACCAGTTTGGCTATACAGTCTATCGCCGTCGCGATACAGGTATAACAGCAGTGAAAGGTACAGCTATACTAGACAACCGGTTTATCGTTCCATATAATCGGAATTTACTTGTGCTGTTTCAAGCTCATATCAATGTCGAGGTCTGTCATCAAGGCCGCTTGATTAAATATTTGTTTAAGTACATTACAAAAGGGCCTGATAGATCCATGGTTCTTGCTGAAACTGCTGGCTTGTCTGTATCTGATTCTGCTACCCCAAACCATATCCCTCCATTGGACGAAATTAAACAGTTTCTTGATTGTAGAAGTCTGTCTTCATATGAGGCAGCGTGGCGGATCTTTGAATTCCCTGTTCATGAACGAACACCGCCGGTTCAGCGGTTGTGCGTTCATCTTGAAGGGAGACATTATGTTCCTTATAGGAAGAAACAACGGCTGTCTCGAATACTTGCCCGCGATTCTGTTTCAGAGACAACATTGACACAATGGTTTTACCTTAACCAACGAGATCCAACTGCAAGGGATCTACTTTATGCCGAGACTCCGAATCGTTATATATGGAATGTGAAAACAAAAAAATGGGCTCCGCGGAAAAGAGGGTTCTCAATTGGAAGAATTGTCTATATCCATCCAGGTTGTGGTGATACATTTTATCTCAGACAACTTCTTACCAAAGTTCGTGGGTCAGTTAGTTATGCAGATCTTCGGACAGTCCATGGATTCCCATGTAGAACATACCAAGATGCGTGCCAGCGCCTTGGTCTTTTGTCTAATGATGATGAATGGTTACTTGTGATTAAAGAAGTCAGCCAATGGGGCATGTGCCGCTTGTTACGATACCTCTTTGTGTCCATGCTGATGTTCTGTGAACTATCAAACCCACTGCAGCTTTTCAATCAGACATGGGAATTGCTTTGCGAAGACATCACATATAGGTGCCAACGAGACGTTTGCTTCAACAACAACCTCATACCACCTGAATTGCCCAAAAATAAATTGTTGTGGGAATTGCAGCACATGTTACATGCTTATTCAGCCACGTTATCTCATTTTAACCTTCCCTTGCCAACAGATGATCACCCACAAACTGATCCCTTGCTTCAGTTTGGAACTGATTCACATCCTGGTACTTTAGCTGCTGTGGATTCCCCACCTCCTGTAGTTGGTGATCTTAACAGAAAGCAACTTGAAGCTTTTCATTGTGTAATGGAATCTGTTATGTCTCCAACAGAAGACTCGCCTACATTCTACTTTCTGTATGGTCATGGAGGAACAGGCAAGACTTTTCTCTACAAAACTATTCTTGCGCAACTTAAAGAAGCTGGAAAAATAGTTTTGGTTGTTGCTTCTTCAGGAATTGCAGCAACATTACTTCCTGATGCAAGTACAGCTCACTCTCGGTTTAAAATACCACTGGAAATCGATCATGGTTCTTCATGTAATATCAAGAAAGGTACGCCATTGGCTCAATTGATCATTAATGCATCGCTTATAATATGGGATGAAGCCCCAATGGTTCACAGATTGTCTTTTGAGGCAGTAAACAGAGCTTTTTGTGATATTATGGATGTTCCGTTTGGTGGTGCACACTATAAACCGTTTGGTGGCAAAGTTGTTCTTCTTGGAGGCGATTTTCGTCAAACGCTTCCAATAGTAGCTGATGCTGGCAGAGAAGAGAGTATTGATTCATCTCTTACCTGTTCCTTTTTGTGGCAACATTGCACTGTGTTGCACTTAACTGAAAATATGCGGGTGGTTGCTTCCCGGGAGAGTCAAAGGTCAACTTTTGGTGGCATGCCCTTTACCGAATGGACTCTTGCTGTGGGAAATGGGAATGTGCCAGGAAAATCATTTCCTTCTAACCAATCTACTGATTGGATAGAGATTCCGGAATCATTACTGCTTCCTTCTTCAGGAAATCCCATCCATACGATTACGTCTACAGTCTATCCTGACTTTGCTCAACGGTTCCATAATGTATCGTACCTCACTG